TTCATTTTATTTAAAAAAGATTTCCACCACTTGCTGGCAGTGACTTTAGGAGACCCTCTAATGGCCATGGGGGCCCTATGCCACTGCAATGGTCTCTTATTGGCTCAGCTGACTCTGAAAGGAAGTATATAAAAAAAGCTGTGGAGGGCAGGAGTTGATGAAACCAGCTAAAGAGTAACCACCCAGTGGCGGCTCCTGCCAAATCTCTCAGGGGGGGCAATTGTTGCGATGAAGGCTAAGGTGACCAGTTCAATGGTCTTAGTCTGCTATAAGACAAGGATTGTTCCTCAGGCTACATACTGTACAGTATTTGTGAACAGTTACATCCTGAAGTTCATTGTCAGTGTCTACAATGAATGAACAGTCCACAGTTAAGATCAACAGATCTTTAGACCTTTGGATGTAAAGCCAACTTTAGCAATAATGAAAAAAGGAATGACTCTCACAATCATCTGATTTAGTTGTGACAAACCTTTTATTTAGGAACAATAAATCCAGAATAAAGCGCAGTGGCGATGGGTGGATTATTTGCAATTCAATTCAATTTTATTTATATAGCGCCAAATCACAACAACAGTTATCTCACAGCGCTTTTCATGAAAAAGCAGGTCTAGACCATACTCTATGATGCTATTTACAGAAGCCCAACAATTCCCACCAAGAGCAAGCACTAGGCGACAGAGGCAAGGAAAAGTCGAGCAGGAACACGGGGGCAGCAGGTGACCCGCAGCCACAGATCCAGACTCCACAGCTCCAGAGCCAGAAACACCTGCAGGAAGTGATAGAAGGAGAGAGGAGAGGGACGAGAAAGCACAAGACTACCGGAAAGGGGAGAAGTTGTGTTAGTAACATGCAATAATGGGATGAGGTTGCATACAGAGGGAGAGAAAGTAGAGGAGAGAGGAGCTCAGTGCATCATAGGAAATCCCCCGGCAGTCTAGGCCTATAGCAGCATAACTAAGGGATGGTTCAGGACTCACCTGAGCCAGCCCTAACTATAAGCTTTATCAAAAAGGAAAGTCTTAAGCCTACTCTTAAATGTGGAGATGGTGTCTGCCTGCTGAACCCATACTGGAACCTGGTTCCACAGGAGAGGAGCTTGAGGTTTCCTTCGTTGTAGCTGGCAAGACCACGTGGCTTGGTCTGACCTCGGTGAAGTTGGCTCGACGAAAAAGGCTTCGTCATTCCTGAATTAGTCCAGTGTAAATTAACGGACTGATAACTTTAACAAACAAAAGAAATAAAAAAAATAAAACTAACTGAAGGCAGATCGATGTCTCGGCACTTCATGTGTGTAGCTTCAAGCGAAACAAAAGGCCTGTTTCGCTGGCCAACTGAGGGCGTTGCCTGGCGCGGCACGCCGACGCGTGCCGAAACGTCCAGAGAGCCGTGCAGAGCGGAAGAGAGCCAACAGCAAAGAGAAGAACGTGAAGCTCGCGTGTTGCTCTTTTGTTGCCTGGGGCGTGGTTCCCCAGGGGGCGTCTCAGGTTTCCCAAGGGACTGCCTTTCTAAACTTAATGTTTAAAGAAAAGAAATCTATTTGCACGTATTATAATCAAATATTTTCCACAATCGAACCTCAATGGTTGAACGGTTGTACTGTTCTAGGCATTTGGTAACAGGAAACAATTGTCACATTATTGGTCAGGATATTTATACATTTAACGGCATTTCCGACGAGGGCATGTAATACTTATTTCGTTCACTTGGGGGAGCTCAGGTTACATGAGGAAAGCTTGGATTACATTAGATGAAGGAGTGTCTTGCTGAAAATAAAAACACTGCACAAGTAACTTTCTTTTCAGCACTAATATCAACAACGGATAGCAACAACAGTTAACATAACTACTCAAATAGAGGCAAACGTAATCAGGTAACTAAAGATTTAATTAAACTTAATTAAATGCTTTGAGTCTGGAGACTGCAGTCCTTAGCCATTCAAAGTTCGGTTCAGTTCAGTTTTGATAGGCTGTTCAGGGAAATGCCAATGGCTGGTTCGTGTCCCTTTGTCAGTTTAATAGTCAGGCCCCGCGTTATCAGCTTCGGAATCAAAATGGTGCCAGTTTTATGGTCGGGCTAGCACTTAGAGAAAGCAACTTTGACCCCTCCCCTTCTTCTCTGGGGAGGAGAAAGGAATTTAGAGTAGCTCCAAATTTATTCAATATAAAATGCACAAATCCACACCGTTGTTCACTACAATATACACAGGGACTAACAAGCGGGGCGGGAGCAACACTGGTGATCAGGGCTAACGAGGCAGAGAGACAAGCAGGCAGGCAGAGAGACAGCAGGGGGGAAACAGAGAGAACACTAGACAAGCAGACATGGGGCAGAGTGAATAACCAAGAAGACAGAAACACACACAAGTTACAAAGAACCAGAACCTAAATGAGAACACAGAACTAGAACCCAGAGTACAGAGGAGACCAAATCACAATAATAAACCAGGAATGATTACCAAAACATGAACTAAGGACATGGAACTAAACTCAGACTCCCAAACAAGACACACAGACAGGATCATAACATAGAAAGTCACACAGCTGTTTAGCAACTGCTTTCTCCAGGATCTTAGAGAGAAATGGAAGGTATAGGTCTATAGTTGGCTAAAACATCTGGATCAAGTTTGGGCTTTTTCAGAAGAGGTTTAATTACAGCTACTTTAAAGTACTGTGGTACATAGCCTGTTGATAGAGATAGATTGATCATATCTAGCATAGAAGTGCTGACTAAGGGTAAAACATCTTTAAGCAACCTAGTCGGGATGGGGTCTAAGAGGCAGGTTGATGGTTTAGATGAAGAAATTATTGAAGTTAGTTGGTAAAGATTGAGGGAAGCAAAACAGTCTAAACATATATCTGTTTCTACAGCTGTTTCTAAGGTTCCTGAGTTAAGAGATAAGTTGGTGCCAGTTGAGGGCAGGTCTTGGTGGATTTTGTCTCTAATAGCTAGAATTTTATCATTAAAGAAGCTCATGAAGTCGTAACTACTGAGAGCTATGGGAATACTTGGCTCAATAGAGCTGTGACTCTCTGTCAGCCTGGCTACAGTGCTGAAAAGAAACTTTGGGTTGTTCTTATTTTCCTCTATTAATGACGAGTAGTACGCTGCTCTGGCATTACGGAGGGCCTTCCTATAAGTTTTAAGACTATCTTGCCAAATTAAACGAGAATTTTCCAGTTTGGTGGAACGCCAATTCCTCTCAAGTTTCCGCAATATTTGCTTTAATTTGTGAGTTTCAGTATTATACCATGGAGCTAACCGTCTTTGTTTTATTATTTTCTTTTTTAGAGGGGCTACAGAGTCGAGTGTCATTAGCAGCGAGCCTGCAGCACTATCAACAAGATGATCGATTTGGGAGGGACTGAAATTAGCATAGGAGTCCTCTGTTACTTTGTGACTTGATAATGAATTTAGAGCTGATGGAATCACATCCTTAAATTTAGCTATAGCACTATCAGACAGACATCTTGTATAGAAATTTTTTCCCAATGGCGTGTAGTTCAGCAATACAAACTCAAAAGTTATCAAACAGTGGTCGGATAAAGAGGGATTCTGTGGGAACACCACTAAATTTCAATACCATACACCAAAACAAGGTTGAGGTTGTGGTTAAAACAGTGAGTCGGTTCATGAACACTCTGAGAGAAGCCAATGGAATCTAACAGAGAGATAAACGCAGTACTAAAGCTGTCATTCTCAACGTCCACGTGAATATTAAAATCCCCTACAATAATAACTTTGTCCGTTTTAAGGACTAAAGTTGACAAAATCTCTGCAAATTCAGATAAGAATTCAGAGTACGGGCCAGGTGCTCGGTACACTATAACGAAGAGAACTGGTTGCAGTGATTTTCAACTTGGGTGCGAAAGACCAAGAACAAGGCTTTCAAATGAGTTATAGTTTAGTTTAGGTTTAGAGCTGATTAGTAGGCTAGAGTCGAAGATAGCTGCAACTCCACCTCCTCAGCCTGTGCCTCGAGGAATGTGAGTATTAATATGACTGGGAGGGGTGGATTCATTTAGGCTAACATATTCTCCATCACCCAGCCAGGTTTCAGTAAGACAAAATAAATCAATATCATAATCTGATATTAGTTCATTTACTAGTACACCTTTAGAAGAGAGAGATCTGATGTTTAAGAGTCCACATTTAACTCTCCTATTCATTTGCACTATTGCTCTTGTGGTTTTCATTTTTATGAGGTTTTTATGTACAGCTCCTCTTCTGTTTACCTTTGATTTAAATAATTTCGATGGTCGGGAGGCAGACATTGTCACTATAGTATTTTCACTAAGTAACTCCTGAAATGGAGGAGCAGAGAAGTGTGTTAGACTGCGACTCTGCGTAGGGTTTTGGGTGGGTAACTGCTGAAAAAGAAGGGCAGAGAAGTGTGTTAGACTGCGACTCTGCCTCCTGGTCTCAACTCTGGGTTGTCATGGATTTGGTCCACTAATAAACTTGGCCACATCGTTTGCTGGACACCACCTCGACAACCAGCGGCGGAATGACGACATGCGGCTATACATGTCATCGCTGGTCAGATTTGGCAGGGGTCCAGAGAAAACTACGGTGTCCGACATTGTTTTTTGCATATGTACACACCGACTCAACATTAATCTTAGTGACCTCCGATTGGCGTAACCGGGAGTCATTACCGCCGACATGAATAACAATCTTACTGTATTTACGTTTATCCTTAGCCAGCAGTTTCAAATAAGACTCAATGTCGCCTGCTCTGGCCCCAGGGATGCACTTAACTATGGCCGCTAACTTCACGTTTCTCAAAATGGAGCTGCCAATGATCAGAGTTGGTTTCTCAGCGGGTGTGTCGCTGAGTGGGGAAAATCTGTTAGAAACATGAACAGGTTGAATGAATAAAATTATTTACAGTTAATCTTGCATTGCAGCTAAGGGACCTGTCTCAAGTAATAGGCTACAGTTATCTAATAATGTCACATATGCTGTATGTTAAGGTGGATCAAACACTAAGCTAATCGTAAATGTTTAATGGGGTACAGAGGAGCACAGTATTTATTTTCATTCTTTCATTACTTAAGGTAAGCAAAGAGTAGTAAAAAATCCACTTGTTATCCTGTAGATACACAGTATTATTAGGGGTGTGGGCTGTATTAAAGTTTCCACTGTTCTCCTGTACTCTATAATCACACAGTAACAACGAGCTATGTGTTGTTCTCCCATTCTCACTCTGTATTTACACATAAATATCAAAGCGTGTAAGGGGAAATATAAAAGGTATATTCTATTCTTTCTGGTTTATTTTCTGTGTTGCTTTCCTACTTCTTCTTCTTTTTACCCTCCTCTGGCAAGATGCCAGTGGTGGCCACATCATGATACCTCCTCTTTCTTCTTCTGTTTCTGGCAATAAAAGAAAAAACAACACATCAAATAATTGTTACTGGTTAAGTGCAGTAAACTTTAAATTGACTCCACCACCACACATAAAACTTGGTTTAATAACAATCACATTTAACATAAGCCTAAAATTCGGCTTAATAACTATCAAGATTATTATCTTAACCTATGTCATTTTAGGGAGTATAAATTAGCCTAGTGGCTAGCAGACTTTTCCTCTCCTCATAGCTTAACAAATTACATGTAGGCTATTATTTATACTGTGTCTTACTCACCGCTGATAAAGTCACTGCATCTCCCGACACCATGGTTGAATTTTCAGCCTGAATGTACGTTTTCTACAGCAGCTGCTCATAGTGACAGCAACAACCTGAAGGACTGCCGAGTCGTTTTCAGGTGGCAGAAGCGTAGCTCTGCTGCTGGGCGCATGACGTAAACACGTAAGTGCGAGCCCTCCCGGAACCCATACAGATTGCATTGCAGCTCGAAAAAAACTGCCTTTACACGAAAGTCTATGAGAGCGATCTGGGCGAATTACAACCAGACTGAAATCGCACCAACAGCAATGTTCAGAGTCAAACTGTCTGTCAAAAACAGTCATAGCTAACTAACAGTGTGGTAGAAAGTGTGAGAAACATCGCCTGCCTTTCCCGGTTTGGTGGTGCGTCGCCCGGTCGCCCTAATGAACAAGCCGCCCCTGTAACCACCCATACTATAAGACTCAAAGTGAACATGCCAGCAACAAGACAGGGATCATTTCATATAACACTACACCTAGCATTGTATTGGTTGAGGGATACTGAAAGGGTTATTGCACAAAAAAGAGTAGAGCAGAAATCTGAGAGCAAACGTTTTATGTGCGCACTGAAACAGCCTGACCGCAAGAAGAATTAGAATAGTTTTGAGGGAAATCTGAACGTGAAATCAATAAGTCATGCTCTCAAGCTGAAAGGCCCTGCTCGTGAATAAACATAGGAAAGTAATTATGGAGCTAGAATTGTGTCTTTATTACATGCGAGAAAATAAATGATCTGAGAGAGAAAAAAAAGTTTGAGAGAAAAAGTTATCACACTGATAGCAAAAAAGCATTTCATGAGAGAAAAAAGAATATTTGAGAGAAAAAGTTTTCATACCAATAGCAAAAAATAATAATATTTGAGACTAAAAAAAAGTTTTGAGAGAAAGTATTTTCTCATAGAACATAAAAAAATAATAATTTTTAATTTTTAAAATTATTTCTGAGAAAAAAAAATCTCTCTGCAGACCTACTCACACACCAGTAGTGAGCACAGACCATGCTACATCGTAAATAGCCTACACCACCCCCTGCTTCCAACTTCTGTGTGTGCTAAATGAGTGAGTGAAATGAGCGACAGTAGCTACAGCTCTTGGATCACAAGTTAACTTGAGCTATCACCGTGGCCACAGCTGACTGCACGCTGTGTTGGGGCAGAGTGTAACTCAGATTGAACGTCCAGACTGTTTCACTAACAGGCTGAATGACAAACTGTTCGTCTCACAGCAACTCGACGTCAGGTAAATAACGATACATCATACAAATGTTGACTGGGAAGCTGATGTTGGTAACGCTAGCGAAGATAGCGGAATATAAAGGTGATTGATGGTACGAAGCTGTGTCACAGGTTAATCTGGGCGCCTCCACTTAGCGGTCCATGAATGTCAAACACCTCAGCCTGTTTCCCTATGAAAGTAAGAACACATTTAAACCGACCGTGGCACAAATCAGACAGACAACATGAAGATTTGGACGGTTTATTGAGGTTTTCTGGTGTTTTTGAACAGCGACACAGTCGCCTCCATGATCACGCTCAAAGTTCTCGCTTTGAACTCATTTGCAGGTGGGAGAGGTCCCTGTGAATCATCATGCAGCTAACGATGTAGCCTGCAAACTACACTCAGAAGCATATATCTACATGACGATACATTACAGAGACAAACAAAGTAATCAGAACGTATTTCCTGGTTTGCAGTCAATGGATCCTGTAGCCACGCCTACGGCACATCTGGGACTATCACCAGTTAATTTTGCCACCAGTTAAACTGTCACACCGGCATCTATCTAGGTGAACCGAACAATGGTGTAATGGTTCAGTTCGACTCCCAAGACAAGACGATGCTCACCCGACTGGCCAATAGGAATGTGGGCCCGCCCATGACACAATTTTCACAGCAAAAGCAAAATGTAAGAAATTGCATCAAGAGCAAAGAAGAGTTTTGAGAGAAACACTTTTGTTTTTTTTAGAGAAAATGTTTTCACACTGATAGCAAAAAATATATATTTGAGATTTTTATATTGAGAGAGATTATTTTTCTCAGAAATACTTTTAAAAATTTATATTTTTTTATGTTCTATGAGAAAATACTTTCTCTCAAAACTTTTTTTTTTCTCTCAGATCATTTATTTTCTCACATGTAATAAAGACACAATTCTAGCTCCAATCACATACTCAAACCTATGGTGGCTCCCAGGGCTCAGTGAGGAATACTTTTGCATTCCCTCGCAATATGTTTTGCATTCCCTCGCAATACTTTTGCATTACCTCGCAATATGTTTTGCGTTTCCTCGCAATACCTTGCCGTAGCAGCATGAACATTTAGCCTATAGGCTAGTGAGTGGACAGTATTGCATAATGTGAGTTGCAAGGTCTTGATCCACAAACTGAATAAAAACGAAATGCCGTTTCTTGCGGTCCAATGTGCTAAAAACAAAGTCACAATAGCCTATTCAACTTACAAGACACAAAACAAAAAATAGACATGCTGGCCAGCCAAAAGAAAGAATGGCATTTTTAATGGTTTAATGCAGCAGTCATTAAACCAAAGTTACTTTGAATCATTTGTGATTTTTAATGCATCTTCAGTAGGTTATTTTATGAGCTTTTCACTATTAGTCAGGCCCGCACAAATAAGATGGTAATTTACAGTATGACACTAGACGAGACAGCTGATCTGTATACTGTCAGGGGAGTGAGAATGGCATGCGGGTCTGGAGCATTATAAAGTGCGTAGCCTAATAGTGCAACCCCAAAAAAGTATGTTCACCTGTATAGCCTGTTTCTAACCTATTTAAATAATAGCAGCATCAGAAGTAGGCTACTTAACATTAGCGGAGCCCTGATGGCTACAAGCTTATATAAAAATATAAATATAAATATAAGCCAGTAGCGGGATCAGCCTAATAATAGTCGGCTATGTAAACAGTGTGGAAGTGCCGTAGCAGCATGAACATTTAGCCTATAGGCTAGTAAGTGGACCGGATTGCATAATGTGAGATTTGTAATATATCGTATAAAACCTGAATCTATTGTAACATTAGTCCAGCAAGGGGACCTCTGTTTATGTTTAATTGATGACATGGGCTGGTGCTGTCAATAGCTTGTCTTCAAGAGAAACACATCTGTCTCGATGTGTCAGAATTGATCAATAGCTGACCCCTCATGAAAGCAATAACAGCTGTTTCTTGAAGGTAATGCAACTGGCAAATTAGTGTGAGCCCCATGACTAATGTGTTTCATTGACTTGGTCTCCTGTGAACAGAAACAAAGTGGAGCACAAAAATGCCAGCGGTCATTCACAACCTAATTTTTTATTGTCTCAGAAATTACCTTTATGCCAGACTCATCTTTGATCCAGTCCCATCTTTGCAGCAATCTATTCTATGTTTTCTGTTGTGAAATTCGGCAGTCAGGTGTGTACAATGGGCATCACACACATCACACTGAACATGCCGACCACATAAGCGCATAAAGAATAAAGGACTAATCCAACCACCTTAAGAAATGAGGGAGGAGGTTAATTGCTATGGAAAAGAGCTCAGATCAGTGTGGCCTACAGTATTTCCAGCACTGTCATGGGAAATTTTCTACATTGTCTCATGGGTATCTGTCACATCCATAGACTGTATATAAAATGTTGCATCACAGCTGAATAAAACACACACAGTTTGTATTGGCTTTGTACATTTATGTGTGTGTTTATGCTCTTTGCTGTTATTACTACATCTATTAAACGTTAGTATGCTCACATGGATACACACACATGCAGAGGCAGAAGGACGCACATGCATCAGGAAATGACAAATCACAAAATTCCCTATATCAAATGGTCAAATTCAATCAGTGGATGAATAATGCAACCATGAAGTGTTTCATGGTTTCCAATTTCTGTCTCAGTCACTATGTTGCATACTTTGATCTCATGACTCTGTAATTTCCCTTGACACAATTTTATGAGCAGGCGGGACAGAATGAAATAAGCAGCAGAGAGAGGTCAAACAGTCTGTCAGACCAATACTCAGGTGTGATGGAAGCTCAAATGCAATATTGCCAGCTCTGATTCACACACTAATGAGCTATAAATCCTCTCATACATCTCCAACATGGATTCAACACAAATTATCAAGTGGGTTCTCCTGCTCTCTTACAATTCGTCAAGTACTAAATTCTACTGTAAATTCATATTTAGAATAACAAAGCTTCTGATTGGTTGCCCTCATATCTAAATGATGTTTGCCAATGAGTACCAAATTAACTTACTTATGAAACAGTTGCAGTTTGGTTAGGTTTAGGCACAAAAAATATGTGGTTCAGTTTTGGAAAGCATCATGGTCTGGGTTAAATGAGTACATTATGAACATAAGTTACGTAAGTCACGTGATGTTACTTAAGTTAAAATAGGACAACAACAGCACTCTGAACAACACTCTCCATGGTGAAAGTCCTGTATTTGCCCCATCCAACCACCCCAGTGTCCTCCCTACATAGAGTTTTTTATACTACCTTATGACTTTCTCATTTGCTCCTATCATAATTACTACAGCCACTACAGGTCAACAATACGGCTGTATTTGGGGGGAATACAGTCTGACTCTGTTAAGTTGCAAGCCTGGAGCTATTGCAAAACAGAACAACAAAATGGACAGCTCCAACTGTTGGTGAGTATAAAAGTGGCATTACAATGATAATCACTTTTTTTATTTTGTTCAGTTCAACTAAAAGATGTAATTTCTTTTTTCACATCACCCTTCAAATGCTCTTCAGGAAGTGCATCAATAAGCAAATGCATCACTGTTAGTAACGCGGTGATGCTCGGCATGGATTCGGACTGACTTCAGTTCAGCAGTAAGAGAAGTTGGTTTCTGGTTGAAACAGTTACGTTCACTTAGTACAACTCAAGACACGTTTTTCAATGACAGTGCAGAATTAGAGACAGACCCATACCGAGACGGAGCGGATCCTGTTATAATCGGCGAAACCGCCAATTGCGTAAGCCAAGCGGAAAAAAGGTGAGGATCACGTCTTCATCCTCAACATTTTTCCTCTTTACACTCCTGCTCAAAAAACATTTTATGGCAGCAGTCGCATCACCAATAGAAAAAGAATTACTGGAGTATGACCATGGGGGAACCTATGTTCTTCTTTGCCCAGGGCCTCCAAATCACTAAAACCACCCCTGAATACACTGGGCTAAATACCAACAGGAAATAG